GTGTGTGTGTGTATGTATATATATATATATAACACTGTGATCCAATTGCCCTAGCCACCAATGTGGGATATAGGGACCAAGACCCCTTAATTCCAACCCTGAGTAGTGGAACCTCTGCTATCTAGTTGGGGCTGGCCAAAAGTGATGATCGCTCATGTACAATTCCACCCATGATCTATGCAGATGCTTTCTGTATGGATAATGCCCTCACTGGCCCCTCCACATTCTCAATGTGGGATTCTAGCTAAAAGTGGCAGTGGAGGTATGTTTTGGAAGTTAACATTTTCCTAAATTGAAAATGTATTTCCAATAATACTTACCTCTGCTGTCATTCTCTCCCCACTAACAGCTGGTGTTAGATACTTGGATTGTATCAGTCCCAAAAAAAAATGATAAAATTATCTGAATGAGGTGCCTTTATATACAGTACCAGGATAGAGGGTGCATTGACATAAGTGGAAAGTATCACCAAGGGCAATTGAATGGGGTATAAAAGACTGGAGCAAGCGAGAAAAATCAGACTGATGCTTAGAGGGCATAGTAGAAATCCTGGTGGTCGAGTAATAGCTATAAATGTTAGTGGAGGTAAGTGTCATTGGAAATGAATTTTCAGTTTAGGAAAATTTTAACTTTCCAGTTTCTAGTACTTTTGCTTTCATCCTTTCAGCAAGTAGTCTATATGTTGAAATCCAGAATACAGTGGCCAAAACTTTGAGAAAAATGAGGGGAGTGAAATTGTGAACATGATCCATGTAGGTAGCTGAGTATATCTTCAACAAATATCCGATAATTGTTTTTTGTGACTTGGCTGAATACATATTTGGACATTAATCGTGGAGCAGGAAAATTGTATGTACATCATCCCATGCTCTTCTGATGTGGAAGTTATCCAAAATTTCTATATTAGTATTAAGCTTTTCATCTACTGCATCTGCTTGCGATTGCAATTGGAAGGTGTTCAGTAACGTAGAAATTAAACCATTTCACAATGGACTGAACAGTTAAATGTTCTTAATTTGTTACTTCCTTCAAGATATGAACCTAGATAGTAGCAACAGCATGGACAGAGAATGAAGTGAAATGTGTAAACTGTGACAGCAAGCACTAGTAGAATTGGATGCATCAAAAGTGATGAAGAAACTAGGTGGAGATTAATGAAACAATAACCCAGAGTAACATTATGTAAGAAGTAATGTATAAATAGTGACTATGATTTAAAACACTTACGTCTGTTACAATTGTTCAGAAGTTTAAAAAAAATATTATAAAATGTAATTTCCCCTTTAAAGTTTGAGGTCATCAATTAGTCTGTGTATATGTAAACATAATGGAAGTTATGATAGAGTTTAGAATTTCAAAATACAAACTTAACTTCTCAATTTTGCTTTTCTTTACTAAACCAGATCATTACTTTTTCCAGAATCTTTTACTGAGGAAGTTACCCTTTTCCCGAGTAGTAAGAGAAATCTGTCAAGAGTTGAGTAGTCTCCAGTATCGATGGGAGGCTACTGCCATACTCTGTTTACAGGAAGCTGCAGAAGCATATTTAGTTCATCTCTTTGAAGATGCTTACCTTTGCTCAATTCATGCACGAAGGGTTACTCTTCAACCCAAGGATATTCATCTTGCACGTCGCATTAGAGGAAGTGTAAACAGCTTTGAAATCTTTTAAACTTAGTAATAGATTTTTAACTTGCTTTTATCTTTTTTTCTATGTAACTTGCATTTTTGTTTTTTAACTTCTGTTCATCTGTGTCCTGTTGTGTCGGTTTATTGTCACATAAGTGCCTTAAGTGAATATTGTTATTGTAATTCTCAATCTGTTTAATAAATATTGAATTTAAAAATTATAGAGGTAAAATGTTTTAATATTTTCTAAAATAATGTTTATAGACAGGTTACTAAACAATAACTTCATTACTTAGAAAAGTGTTTAGTATTTCTTAAATTTCATCAGCCGGTATAGATATTACATCTTGTCGAACTCTCAAGAGCATTATTAATTATTAGTACAAGTTTAAAGTTTACATTTCAGAAAATTATTTGCTGAATTAACTTGGAATGGTGCTACAGTGAATCTTCATCAGTTTAGAAACTCATGGATTTTATTTGATGGGAAGTAATGGGTTTTTTTAGGACATGTATGTTTATCATTGGTGTACAAAGACTGTTGAAGTCTAACTTAATATCTCTGTTAATTTTGTGTGTGTGTGGTGCTTCATGTCATTCCTTATTCTTCAGCTGTCTGTTTTGTCAATAGGAATATTGTTTTTCTGGTTCATTTAGTAGCTGGTTGAACTGCATGTTATGTCATGGCAGAGTGATTGGCCTTCATCAGTTGGACTTGCTCTTTGTGTTCATTTAATTAATGGTGCAATATCTGCCAGTTTTGCTTTGCACAAATTTCCACAAATGCGGAGAACGTGGTAGTCCACTTGTAGAGAAATTTGATTGCTGGTAATTTGACTGTTGTGCTCAACTAACTCTGAGGTCAAAATAACTTACCCACAAAAATTGTCTCCTCAGATATAACTTCCACACCAAAGGTAAGACAGAACGAAGTCATCATTAACTTTATTCTACAGAAATTGCAAAATTCATATAATATGCAAAAGGATCTAGGCCTGGGCTCCTTCCTGCAGCAGTTAAACACTAAGAAACCAAGAGTAAAACAACCCATTAGCAAGTATCTCAATATACATGGAGTTTATCTAGTTCTCTGCACTTGTACAAATACATTATTTCTGTCATAACACATGTCCTCATAGCAAACTGGCTGGATTAACTATAAACCTGTTAATAAAAAACTAAAGAATAAGGAAGAGCATGGATACAAAGTTGGAAATCAGAACTAAACAAATATCAAAGTAAATTATAAGCTAACTGCTATAAACAACTTCATGCAAAATTGTACCTTATTAATTAAGCTGGCCTGGTGGAAACTATTATGGAGCAGTTTTATTAGGTAATTGGAACTGAATGTTTTTTTATGTCTGTGTGAGGGTGGGGAATAGAATAAAATACAACTTAAGATTAACATAACACTAAAATACTTTATTTTATGCATATAGACTGTGTAGCCAAACAATATTTGTCCTTTTAATTATATTTGTCTTGCAGACACACTCATTTTTTGATATATATTTTTAAATCATTTGTTTAGCTTTTGAATTGTGACTTAATGGAATCATTTTAAAACATGAATGTATAAAAAAAACAATTTTGTGAAGGCAGAATCTGTTTTATATTGTGTAGCCTCTGTATTTAGTATTTTAAATAATTATTTGGTTGGATTATAAATTATTATTACACTTAAATTTGCTCCTTTGTTGTTTATGTAAGTAAATACAAGTGCTAGCAACACTGGCTAGTAATTTTTAATGCCTAATCAGCCAAAGGAAATTTTATACAAAATTTTGCTAAATAGAATAGGGTCGCTTTATTCCTTTTTTGTTGTTGTTGTTACTGAATTGTCATGCATAAAGAAGTGATGTAAAATTTTCGTATAAGAATTTCATTTTGTTAAAGATTGGTGTTTAAAAAGGTCTTTGTGATAGAATAAATGTTCTCTGTGTAACTTAAAACATCTAGTTGTGTTATTGTATAGAGGCATCAGATATATTCTCCTTTTTATTGTTTGACAGTAAAGTTTGTAAATTTTTAATGTGATAACAAGTGACACTTATGATTTATATTTTCAGATATATTGGCTTCACTGTTCTACTCCTGCACAGACATTTATTTCTGATTGTTACAATTCATTGATCTTAAAATTCATACTCAATATTAAATTAACAAACCACACGGGTACCACCTAGTGTTTTCAGCAGAGATGTAGAGCTAAAGTTATCTTTCTGTGTGCGTGAAACTAATAACGTGTTTTTAGCTAATTTCATGCAGGCTTAACATTTTATTACCCTTCAACAAAAGTGAAGCAACAGTATGAATAAAAAAGAGGATGACTTCAGAAACTTAATCCTTATGGACTTTATTTGAGGATACCTGTTATCTTTTGCTGAATATAGGTCAAGGACACACAAAACGTTACATTGTCTTCAGTATTGAACTTCTAAATATGAATGTGTTATGGGAGCATTGCTGAAAGTTCAGCTGCAGTACAAGCTCGAACTTATTAAACAATGTTCACAGAATTAGCAGCTTCTAAACAAGCCTTATTGATAATAGCTTTAGTCAGAGGATGTCTCTACAGGTAAATAAGTAAAAGAATTTAACTAGTATTATCCCTTATGTACATTTGAAACTGACATTCCAAAATATATTTGAAATTATCAGCTAGATAACAGATGTATAGAGACAGAGGAAATGTTGTTTTTTTTGTGTTGCTTTATTTGCCTTGTGCGTGCATAAAAAATGTCATAAGAACTGATGGATATTAAGTCACCCAAGTTTGAATATGAGTCAATATTAAACTACCGGACATATTGGACACTCAGATTTAGAAAAGAAAAGGAATTATTTGAATGAAATAACACCATGAAATTGCACTTGGATATCCACTTCTTACAGGTTTATTTGTAGTAGTGTTGATTCTCATTTATTATTTTACCCATGATCCATCTCAACTCCATTACTTAATAATTTTATTTCCTCACAAAATTATTTAAGATGGCATTCCCCTTTTTATTACAACATTGTCTAGGTCAGTTTGATGAAGTGCACACAAAAAAAATAGTGTTTCCCACAAGAAAAAATTAAATTTAGCATGCCTATTCAGAATTTTCAAAATTCTCTATTTTTTTTATTCTTTTTTTTTTTCTACAGTGGATCATTTACTGCCTTTTACAGAGTAGCTCCACTACAACACACCTTACTACTGTACACAAGGTTGTTACCAAGGTGGATTGTCAATGGATTTTGATATTTTTACTTTGGTTCAATTTCAACTCACTTTGAAAGAAAAAATATCAAAATCTATCAATTAGGTCATTTCACTAAAAAGTTGGTGGGGAGGAAGAGAGAACAAAGAAAATGGGATCTGTATGCTATGGTATAACACATGTATATATGTTAATTCAGCTTTACTTTGAGCCACCACCCCCAACCCCAAAATGCTGCTGCTGGTTAGTGGTTAGGGAGTTGAACATGTTATATACTGAAAAAATGAAGGTATGGTTGAAAGATTTATTTCTTTTTAACAAATTCTCAAGAAAACAGGTTAAGAATTTAACATTAACTATGAATTGCATACTACAATGCATAGAAGGAATAGCACACCATCATCACTTGCCTGAAAGTAAGAGCATGACTTTAACCCATATTTTTGGTTTAATCCTAGAACATGTTCATAACCATATTGTAGTATGATGTCCTAAACATCATTTGGAAAGTGAAAGTATGATTTTAGCCCACATTTTTGATTCAGTTGGCCGGTATTATTATTATTCTTACTTTCTTGTGTTCCGATATGATTCCTAAAATGTGATATGATGTCATCATACAAGGACCATATCAAGAATTTTGGACCAACTGTGTTCACTTTCAGCTCATTATCATAAGTCATGATCTGTTGACCTAACATATCAGGTTTAACAAATAACAGATTTTCTTTATCAGCAATAACAGTATTAGCCTTATTCCTAGAATCTGGAGAAAGGTCAGTCTCCTCATTACTGATAGGTGGGTCTGCAGGATTTGTATTATTACACGTGTGGCTGATGTTTCTCATCCACCTGTTCAATCAGTGACTTGGTGTCACAAGATTAAATTAAAACTCTGTTAGATTACTTTAACTTTAGTAGATTACATGTACATATATCAGTTGTTACAAATATCTTTAAAGATGCAACTTCTTTAATCATTACAAACTCCATTCACAGTTCCATCTTGACCCTGGTCACTATGTTACATCAGGACACTCAGGCTTTTCTTCACTGTAACAGGTAATGGTTCCAAAAATAAACTACTCTCCCACCATGTCACTTTCAACTCTGTCTTTTTTAGTATTAAATCCACAATGCACCTGGACAACAGTAGGTTCAAACTAACATCTAGCCCTGCATCTTTGCCCATATTTTCAGCCTAGTTCTTCCCAAACTCCACTTTTAGAACGTGCATGGGCATTTCCACACGGTGAGTACTCTCTTGAACATAATATAGAAGAGATGTTACTTTTGGGTGTCCAGTTGTTTCTATTTGCAACATACTTTTAAGAATATATCTCCTAGATATCTTCACAAATAAACAACAACTTGAAACCTTATAGAGAAACATTCTCGCCTGGTCTCAGGATCTCCAAACTGCAACTCACTGTGCCAATATTCATTCATCAATGTTTCCTACTTGCTAAAGTTCTAGTTCAGCAGCAGAACTGGATCAGCGGTTGAGGAACTCCTGGAGTGTTCTATTTCATGGAAAGAAATATATAGTTAAAACCACATAGGCAACAAAGATATTGAAATAAAAGAATAGATTGAACAATCACAAAAAGATAGGAAGACAAAAATTTGTTAAGTTTTGAACTATACTGAACTTGATGGTTTTTAGTGCTTAATGTACATAAATGTTGGAATGAAAGCAAAAACTGTGTCTGTGGGAGAGGATGTCTGTGTGACAATCTGGTGATTTTTCATGTTTTTTGGGACATGTATGCTCAAAATCTTCTAAGATTTGACAATAAAGTACATATAGCAAGTTAACTTTAGGTTTTTGCATTTCATGTACAGAAATAGAACATTTGGAATGTCAACTCCCTATACAGCAAGAACATTACACTTTCAACTGCTGTACCGGTGCCATCTAATGATCCCTTGCCATGGCCAGCTGGCTTCAGAAAAATTCTAAAGTATTGTGTTGAACCATTTTAGTAATGGTCTTGTTGACATTAAAGATGTATTTTGTTGCAGTATTATGTTATTGGAACATGCATAGTGTCGGTGTTAGGGTGTCTGGTTTTTAGTCTCTCCTAAACTGACTTAAGGTACAACCAGATGGCTATGGAATTATGTCTGCAGGAATCAGACACTGTTCAAAAGGAGACAAGTTTCATGAAGAAAAGTTAATAACACAATTATGAAGTGTAGCTTGTGCATGTGATGCCAATATATCCAATGGCTTCATTTGACATCAAGTCAGTCTCAAGTTTCTTCATGACTGAAAGATGGTGATCAGAATTAGTACACTTTCTTTTGTTGAACAGTCAGTGCCACTAAAAGCTCTTGGCAACTCTCACTAATTTTCTTTCACAGAACGATAAAAATATAGTTGATGATGACATCTTTCTTCTTCACTGTATTAAAACAGATTGTTTTTTGAGTATCAAAAGTGAAACACAAAAAGCCATGGACTGCAATGCATCTATAGTAGTAATAAAAAGTGACTTTGATGTGGTATTGAATTTCTTGTGTAACTTTCCGGTGACTAAAGTTGCTGTTATTATAAATACAGTTATGATCTCATTAGAATAAACTTCAAGTTTGTATGGGAAATTTTTTCTATGTAAATATCAAGTGGTAGTTTGTCAACCTTAGATCTAAAACTGCTCCAATTTGCTTTCATAAAAATCATAGACAGAAGGGAAATGGGGTTGTCAACATGAGAGTTAACATATAAATATTGGGTTATAATTTTTTCATGGACAGTGTTATTGTAAGTGGAGCGGCAATAGAGAAAGTTGATGATGACATCTTTCTTCTTCACTGTATTAAAACAGCTGGTTTGTTGAGTTATCAAAAGTGAAACATGAAAAGCCATGGGCCTGCAATGCGTCCAGAAGTTAGATATTCACCCATATATTCCTTTAAGTCAAAAGTAACTAAACTTTTAAACCTTCTTTACACCATCCCATGTGCAGATAATTAATATGTATATACACGTTACAGCTTCTGGAATTTACAAAACTTTCAAAAATTTTTAATAAAATTTGAACTTGATTTCAATTGTAAAAAGTAAAAAAACTTATAAATTTATTACTAGTACATGTGTAGGGGTCTATCTAACTTGTCAGGTCATTACGTATAGAGGACATTATGTCTGCGGACTTACAATGCCAGAAATCGGGTTTCATACCATGGTGGCTAGAGCACAGATAGCCCATTGTGTACTTTATGCTTAATTACAAATAAACAAAAATTACGCATAGAAAATAAAACCATCTTACTTAATGTTCCAGACAATGATAAAATAGAACTCTGGTATTACACAGGTAGAACCTTGCCCTTGGTGATGCTGATAATGAACAAAATTTGATCAGTAAACATTGCCTATGCTAGGTGAATAAAGTGATTTAAAACCCATTTATTTCCAAATTAACTAAACCTTTGGTTTTGAACATGTACGTATATACAAACACTTGTTAAATCAGTTAAGACAACATTCATTATTATAAGTTGAAAGTGAATATATTAGTATAATTATTAATGCTATTATCATAACTTTAAAATATTTCAATGCCACCTAGTTTTTCAGATCCTCTTTTCTAAGTTTTTATTTTTAACACTATACACAACAAACTAGTGTGTTTTTAAACTTATGTGGTACTAAAAGTATATTAAAAAATAGTATGAGAATTTATTTTTATAAAGCTGACTTCTTTCAGACCTGGGAG